TTCAGTTTCAGCCTGTATCCCTGTCAACAGGAACACCAGTCTTTATATGTCACTTGTTGATCCTTCTTGTGATAGCAAAGTTGATCTATATCAAAGTCCTCGTCATAATCCACCTATGATTAAAAGTCTCAATGAAGTAAATTTTAATACAAGCACTGTCTATACTTACAATTTAACTGGAAATGTTGATCCTGAAAGTCTTGTGTTTCTCTATATGGTCACCTACAACATGACATACAGCTATCAATCAAGGAGTGGTAGTGTTTCTAAATTACAAATTACAATAGGAATGGCCATTGATCACCTCCCAGCTACATCTAATATTGGTCACCATTCAAATTCAATAAACATTACAGCCTTTAGACGTCATGATCCTTTTGTTAAAATAGTTATTACAAACAAAGATAGGATTCTCACTGTAAATGGAAGCATTACAATAAAACAATTTTATTATGAAAACATAAGTTATCCTAAAGAATGCAGAAACTTGACAATAAACAGACCACAATGCCAACTGAAGTCTTTCACTAATGAAGCTTGCATATTTGCCTTTTCTAGCAACAGTGCAAATTTGCAATATGGAGATCAACCAGTACAATTGTACAATAACAGTACATATACTCCATCAATGACAAACTGTTTAGTATCACCAACAATACCAGTAGTATCTATACATCCAACAACTGCACCATCTGTCTCTACTGTCAATGATTCATCTGGAATACTATTATTAATTATCATTTTTGTACTTGTTTTAGTGTTAGCTATACTAGGAGCCACAATTGCACGCACCTCTTTTGTAATAGGAGGATATTATTATAGCAGAAAAAATCCTAGGATACAAACATTGGATGAATTAGAGATGTCACAATATGCAACTGATGAGTATTTGTTAAGCATTCTTGAGAGAAGGATAAAAGCAGATCAAAAAGGATCAAAGATAAGGAAAAAGATTGCAGTTGGAATTAAACAAATAAAAGGTAAAAATAGTTTGTAGATGCATGTAATGATGATTTATTGTAGGCATCTTTGGTGAACTGATCAAATTAAAATTCGATAGTAAAGGCTTGGTCCATCACTGCAGCAAGACTGGTGTGACACTCATTATTCCAGAGGGAGCAGTTCAACAACCTGCTACTGCATGGTTTGGAGTGTGTCCATTTAGCACTAAGTTCAAGTTTGGTGACTATATACCCATCACTCCTATTGTATGGGTCTACATTGATCAAAAACTAACAAAACCAGCAGAGCTTTACCTTCCCCACAACATCAATATTGGGACTACCACAAAAAACCTCTTTGTTCACTTGACAGCCAGTGATCAGAACTTCTTGGAAAAAGGGAAGTTCCTTTTTACTTGTAGCAACGTCAAAATGGAAGTTGATTCTGAAATGTTTAAGACGTACTGTGACCACTTTTGTTCACACTGTGTTGCTATGGAGAAGAATGCATATCAAGGTACACAGAAGCATTATATGATAGCAATGGCTGAGAAACAACAAGATGAAACAACTTTTGTTGACTTTTGCTGCTTTCCTTGTCAGATAGGATGCAAGCAGGTATTGATCAATGTCTCTTTTAAAGTGTAATTATTTATGATAATTTTAAATTATATACAGCTTGTAATGAAGCAGTATAAGGATGAAGACTTTGCAATTAGTAACTTGAAGAGTATCATGTTTGATGATGAAGGCAGCTTATCTGTAGCATTTGATCCAGACAGTGTACCAGGATGGGAAAGAGATCACAATGGGTTTTGTACAGGAGAGGTAGATACATGCATAGCACAATAATGCTATATATACATATGATTGTTTGTTATAGATATTTGAGTCAGAGGTTGATTATTTTAAAGTGATGGGTTGTGAACCTGGTAATGTGAACAAAGAGAATATTGAGATGCTTCAAATGATGGAAGAGGTTCTTTCTTATCCTCCTCGTTTCAGATACACCTTCTCATGCTTGAATAGCTTTGTTGCCTTAGATACTACAAAAGTGAAAGCTATCTTCAGTGGAACGAGCAAACCACTTCAAATCAATGTCACA